CAGCAAAGGTCACTTTCATCCTGTGAGAATATTTCATCCCATGATTTACTTCAGGCCTTTATAATCGGAGGAAGAAGAAGGCACTTATGATGCCGAAATTTCTTAAAGCTTGGCACTTGGGCCGACCTCGACTGTCCTGTGACACTCACATACCTCCATGTTTCACGAAACCTGAGTAAGACTAACCCCAAGCCTCTAACCTCGTACATCAGACTATCAAACAGATCGACATTCTATTATATATAGATAAATACAAAGATAAATAATGAAATAATTTTTAAATCTATTTGTATTTATTTATGCGTCATTTACAAAATATTCCCGGGCACCAAATACGATTTAATAACATCAGTTGAGATGAAGATGAATATAAGACTCGATATTTAATTAACACCTCCTCAGAGGGCCGGGTATGGCTCCGAAGCCGACCTTTGTTCTCAAAGCTGCTTATGTCTTAAAGCAATCTTCTGGGCCTCTTCCTTTGACAGTGTTCACAGACGCGCGCAAAAAGGAACGTGGCTCGGACTTTGATCTTGGAAGAAAGTATTTGCTGAATCAGCACGCTTGCCAAGAAATTAGGACTTTGGTGATAGAACTAATCGGTTTTCATATTTATCTTATTAGCTTCACGCTTTTAAGCTTACGAAGCTGGTGAAAGACAAGACATTTTTTTGTTTTCTTTCACAGAATTAAAGAATTTATTATTTACTTATATTTTCATAAATTGTTTTTGTCGGGTAGAGATTTCTTTTATTTAAGGAAGCGAAGAAGTAGAACAAATAACTAAATAAATATTTATTATGAATAATATCTTGACGGATAATGTTAAACAATGACAAGGCTTAAGATAAATATGTAGGCAAACGAAGAATATTGTGATGATTAAACACAATGAAGAATTAGTCACACTGGGCAAATGGAGGTCATGGAGTCTGTGTGTATATTCACCTAGTTGTATTCACCAAGTTGTGCTTGCGGGGGTTGAGCTCTGCTCTTTCGGCCCGCCTCTCAACTGTCAATCAACTGTTTCTAACTACTAACTAATTTCCCCTCCCACCCCCCACACACACAGGAAGAAGCCCGTAACAGCTGTAACTCCCAGGTACCTATTTACTGTTAGTAACAGAAGCATCAGGATGAAAGAAACTTTGCTCATTTGTTTCTGCTTGGTCCGGGAATCGAACCCGGGCCACAGAATTACAAGTTCTGCGCGCTGTCCGCTCAGCTTCCAGACCCTTTCCATATGTATGTGTGTGTGTGTGTGTGTGTGTGTGTGTGTGTGTGTGTGTGTGTGTGTGTGTGTGTGTGTGTGTGTGTGTGTGTGTGTGTGTGTGTGTGTGTGTGTATAAAATTCTGACAGTTGTTAGTGAAACAGCAGTAGGCTGCGTATTTATGTTGCTTCAATTAACCTTAGGATCTGCCAAAAGTCGACCAATTAATGGATCAACTGATCTGTGTAAACATTAGGGTCAAGTCATCATAAGTTATTTACAGCCAAGTAAACTGCATCAAGTGTTGATGATTGAGCGCCTTGAGCAAAGTCAATGTTATCCCATTGACTTTGATAAAGGTATGGGACTTGAGAAAGCCTTTGAAGCTATGAGAGAATATCTGTTTTATTAATTTTAATTTATAATTTTTGTATTAATTTTATAAATTTTCCCAAGATCTGAGCATAATTGTTTATAGTAATATAGGAAAAAAACTGTTTGGAGATTTATGTTTATAAAATAATTAGGAGGTGCAGCCGACGGCAGTGCCAAAATCAGTCGTGGGGATGAGGAGTCACAACGTGAGTGTGCCATCCTGTTCCCTCTCAAATTCTGGCGACTCAAATCCGCCTATGTCCGTCCTATACACCAGACCATGCACCCTGCAAAGTTGGGTGAGTCTAGCCCCAAGCATCTGACCTCCAACCTTTCACAAACATCCTCTGCTTAAACATATATAAACAAAGATTATAAATGTATAAATATCTCAAACGCACATAAACATTGAATTTTGTTGACTATTTGACACCCGCACTACACCAACAAGTAAAAAGTGACGTCCTCTATGTATTGTGCATCCTATCCTTGACGTCACTGGCCTTGACTGATGAGCTGAGAAGCGGGATATCACCGCCTAAATCCATGACAGACTTTCTCTCCTCCGTTGGCTTAGCTCTGCAAAGAAAGCCCTTCAGGCCTCCCGCAGAGCACGATCCTACATCCTTAAGATCGAATGGGTTCATTGTGTTGTGTTGGGATCGAAGGCTATTGTCTGGTTATCGTCGATGGAGCGATGAATAGCTGCCAGGAGTGTTCCACTGAGGAAGAGGCTGGTGGGGTGTAAGGTTGTGTGTGTGTGTGTGTGTGTGTGTGTGTGTGTGTGTGTGTGTGTGTGTGTGTGTGTGTGTGTGTGTGTGTGTGTGTGTAGTGACTATATAGAGTTGTGGCCCTCTTCTTGATGTACACGTGTCACTGATTTTCTTCATTTATTATTCATCCATACCCATCCCGTGGATTGGAGTAGAGCTGATACCCACATGATGTTAGCTGAGTGGACCCCACACCCATCCTGTGAGATGTTGTGGACCCCACACCCATCCTGTGAGCTGCAGTGGCCTCTTACACCCATCCTGTGAGTTGCAGTGGACCCCCACGCCCATCCTGTGAGCTGTAGTGGACCCCACACCCATCCTGTGAGCTGTAGTGGACTCCACACCCATCCTGTGAGCTGTAGTGAACCCCACACCCATCCAGTGAGCTGTAGTGGACCCCACACCCATCCTGTGAGCTGTAATGGACCCCACACCCATCCTGTGAGCTGTAGTGGACCCCACATCCATCCTGTGAGCTATAGTGGACCCCATGCCCATCCTGTGAGCTGTAGTGGACCCCCACACCCATCCTGTGAGCTGTAGTGGACCCCACATCCATCCTGTGAGCTACAGTGGGAAAGGTTACAGAGGCACATTATGTGCTTAGAAACTGAACTTAAAAATTAAAATAGCTAAGCAAGAAACATTCTTGTGAAGCTAGTTACATAGTAGATATGATAGAGAAAATGAGGTAGGGAGCCTGAACAATAGGTAACCGACAGTGACAAAGGCGGGGCCCAAGAACTAACAGCTCCCCTCTGCCGGCACATATAGTTAACACACCCTCAATCCCCCCCAACACATACACAGGTCTTTCACTCTAATATTAATACACAATGAACGTAATGATCACCTGCAAGCAACAATGGCCTGCAAGCAACAATGGCCTGCAAGCAACAATGGCCTGCAAGCAGCAATGGCCTGCAAGCAGCAATGATCTTTTACTGGCATCGTATATCACCTTCATGCGACTCCAATATCCCATCCCTAAATGTCATGACTATTATACATCTCGTGTGTGAGCTGCTATGTACGCCACACACATGTAAATAATGCTATATGTGCATTACTACACATGAAGAGAGAAACGGCATCCAACCTTAATTCCTCAACACTATAACCTCGATCCAAGACAACTTTGCCTTAAAAGATAACATATTTTGGTTTCTAGCTTAATAACTTCTGAGATGAAATATGCCATCTGTTGAAAACAAGGAGATTAATCGATACTTATAACTATGGTCAGGAAGCAGAAGCGATTGGTGCAGGGTGGAGGCCAATGGTGGATAAGGGTAGGGGTTGGTTGGGGGAAGGGAATGGCATTTATATGAGGGGATTGTGTTAGGGATGTGTTATGGGATAGTGAGGGCTAGGGAGGGGTTCTTTGGCTGAAGAGGGAGCAAATGAATTGTGTTGGGTTGTGACAGTAGAGCTTCCAGCAAAGAGGTAGTGGTGGTGTTTTGGGTTAGGGGAGGGAGTTGGGGGTTTGAGGGTTGGAAGGGTATTGGCGGTTGATGAATGGAAAGTATAGGGGGTTTATATCAATCCCCTTTTGGCAGTGACCTGCTATACTATATATATCTGGAGTGCGTCTCTTAGTGAAAGTGCATATAACGAGTGCGTATCTTCTTGCCACAGTTTCTCACGAGTAACATAGGCAAATGGACGTCGCGAACTCTCGCGACGTCCATTTGCCTAATGTTACTTGTCACTCTCATTCGTTACTTACTCTCACTCACTCACTCGGAGGCCAGGTCGAGGACCGGGCCTCAGGGACGTTGAGCCCCGAAATCATCGCAAGGTAACCTCAGTACATCTAACAAGTATACGTCTCTCATTCCGCTGCCTCTAACGAGTGTTTCTCATTACATGTAAGTCTCTAATATATATATATATATATATATATATATATATATATATATATATATATATATATATATATATATATATATATATACTGACATAATAAAGAAGAAGTCGTCCATTTGGACAGCAGGTAGATATCCTTCTTATCAGGGGGATGGAGGTGCTGGTGGCTCAGTTGATAAGAGCTGCAGGCTGCTGCTTGTGTGGTCTGCGGATCGTGGTTGCTGGTTAATAAAATGTTATTATCCACGATATTATGGTTAACAATCCGGGAATAACTAGCAATCAACAGCCAATTAACACATACTTACATTCTACCCACTTCAAGACCCCGAACCAGCACGGACGCAACGAGATAAAACATACATTATTGTTTCGTGTTCTGTCTTTTTCCATTGATTTGTGTCCTATCACCTCACCCAAAACCGAATATAAGCACGATCTGAGGATGTAAATTTGTCTTTGAAAATTTAAAAAGTGTTCTTGCGAAGCGCTTCTAGGCGTCAGACTTAAATAAAGTATGAAAATGAACTTTGGAGAGTTAATTTGACAGAGCTGGTACTCCCTTTAAATATATATATATATATATATATATATATATATATATATATATATATATATATATATATATATATATATATATATATATATATATATATATATATATATATATATACATTCATATTGTATGCTAAGGATTTTATTGCTTTAAGAAATTTTATTGCTATTTTATCCTAAGAGATAATAAACAAATGTTGATTTTTTTCTGCAGGTTATGTTGCTAAGGAGCTAGGAATCTTGAAAGACCCTTAAGGGTAGGCTGTCGCTTCAGCAGCAGCGGCTTACTGAAGGTAAGTTGACCGTTCTCAGGTGATAAATCCGGGCTCTGATTGTACACATTGGTTCCCTGGTCTGGTACATATATTTTCAGAAAATTAGTTTTCATAATAAATACATAATTCACGCTAGCGGACTAATTCAATTGTTTTTAAAAAGTTAACAACTAATTTGATATATACGCTTTTCAGTATTAATTAGAATCGGCGTTTAGTGGGTTGATGTGGGTTAATAATCTGTAAATTGGTGTATATTATACGCTTGTTGGGTTGCAATCAGTGCCTGAATAATTAAGGAATTAATGTATTATATTAATATTTTTTTTTTGTTTAATCTCCATCATAGCCAAATTTGTTCATTCAGAGTTTAGGGATATTAAACATTCACAGCTCAACCCAGTTCAACATAAAAATAATTTCATCTACAGCAGGCCTATTGATCAAGCCACTATTGATACTAAAATTCCTCCATATATGTCTAATCTACGCTTGAAACAATCCAACGATCCGAAGTGTCTTATGTTACATACCAATTTCTTCCTTAATACAATTGGTTCCATCTATGAACAAATTATCTTGATACCCAACCGCTAGACGTGTGAGATCGAAGCTCTATCAACTGAGCTATTGAGTGGTATTAATAAGGAAAAGTATTCCTAATAAGACTGCTAAAAAGCTTGGTCGATAGAGCTTCGATCTCACACACACGTGTGGTCTACGGTTCGAGTCTCCTAGAGCCTAGGTGAATGGCATATCAGTATTTATGTCCTGCAATTCTCACATGATATATACGCTCCAATTGCAGATCTAAGTTATATTTCCTCCGTTGCATAGCACTTTGCAACCCGTAATAATACCCTTTTAGTCACCAACTTTGGGAAGAGACACATGTATAATCAAGTCCTCGCAGCTGGACACATGTATAATCATATACTCGCCCCTGGACACCTGTATAATCATATACTCGCTCCTGCAGCATCACGTTAATGTACATAATCTCGATAATCTAGGCCATAAAGCCCTGGAAAGTCTCTTTCTCTCTCTCAGCGTCCTCGTCCAGATGAATAATGGTTGCGTGAGAATGAGGTGGTTGAGAGCCCAATAACTGAACTAGAGGAAATCAAACAACATTGTGACAAACGAGCGGGTCTGCACTTCAATTTTTCACTCGAGCACCTCGTGTTAGCTTCAGGAATGGTCGTTACAGATTTTAAGGCCGAGTGCTTCAAAACAGAACTCGAAGCAATGGATACATGTCGGATAAATTTAAATTCAGGAATGACCTGGGTAAATACTGGTTGGTAAATATGGTTGTTCAAAACTCCGGTCAAAAAAAAAAACACTCGGTCAAAACTCCGGTGCTCTCGTGAAATTGAAAACTTTGAAATATTGAAGCGTTTTCGGACAAATGAACTTCACGATGAGATATATAGGAGTATATTTTTTCGAAATATTTATCACGGGCTGTTATGATAGAGGGGTATACCTGAGTTTATCATGGACTCGTCTATCACGTAGTATAATCGGAGTATATATGTCTGTCAAATATAAAACGCTTACTTGTCAATTACCTTCGACACGCAAATTGACAAGCACCTTTGACAAGTGCCTTTGACATGCACGCCCTTAAAGAGTGTTTTTGACACGTACCCTTGACAATTATATTTGAAAAGTAGCTTTGCCATGAACGTTTGACAACAGTGAGAAGACGATTAGCATTCATTCATGCCATTCTATATGGTCATAGATTCTATCTGGTCATTTGGTCATTCAATATGACCAAATGTAACGTCAAATGTGTGTACTCACCTAATTGTGTTTACAGGATCGAGCATTGACTCTTGGATCCCGCCTTTCGAGCATCATTTGTTTACAGCAATGATTATGGTCCTATTTCCCTATCATACCTAGTTTTAAAATTATGAATAGTATTTGCTTTCACAACCTGTTCCTTAAGTGCATTCCATTTTCCCACTACTCTCACGCTAAAAGATAACTTCCTAACATTCCTGTGACTCATCTGAGTTTCCAGCTTCCACCAATGTCCCCTCGTTCTGTTACTATTCCGGTAATGTAAATATTCCCCCCTCGATCTGTACTATTCCGGTTCGGTAAATGTGTGTGTGTGTGTGTGTGTGTGTGTGTGTGTGTACTCACCTAATTGTACTCACCTAATTGTGCTTGCGGGGGTTGAGCCCTGGCTCTTTGGTCCCGCCTCTCAACCGTCAATCAACTGGTGTACAGATTCCTGAGCCTATTGGGCTCTATCATATCTACATTTGAAACTGTGAATGGAGTCAGCCTCCACCACATCACTTCCTAATGCATTCCATTTGCTAACTACTCTGACACTGAAAAAGTTCTTTCTAACGTCTCTGTGGCTCATTTGGGTACTCAGCTTCCACCTGTGTCCCCTTGTTCGCGTCCCACCAGTGTTGAAAAGTTCATCCTTGTTTACCCGGTCGATTCCCCTGAGGATTTTGTAGGTTGTGATCATGTCCCCCCTTACTCTTCTGTCTTCCAGTGTCGTGAGGTGCATTTCCCGCAGCCTTTCCTCATAACTCATGCCTCTTAGTTCTGGGACTAGTCTAGTAGCATACCTTTGGACTTTTTCCAGCTTCGTCTTGTGCTTGACAAGGTACGGGCTCCATGCTGGGGCCGCATACTCCAGGATTGGTCTTACATATGTGGTGTACAAGATTCTGAATGATTCCTTACACAGGTTCCTGAACGCCGTTCTGATGTTAGCCAGCCTCGCATATGCCGCAGACGTTATTCTCTTTATGTGGGCTTCAGGAGACAGGTTTGGTGTGATATCAACTCCTAGATCTTTCTCTCTGTCTGTTTCATTAAGTACTTCATCTCCTATTCTGTATCCTGTGCCTGGCCTCCTGTTTCCACTGCCTAGTTTCATTACTTTGCATTTACTCGGGTTGAACTTCAACAGCCATTTGTTGGACCATTCACTCAGTCTATCCAGGTCATCTTGTAGCCTCCTACTATCATCCTCTGTTTCAATCCTCCTCATAATTTTTGCATCGTCGGCAAACATTGAGAGGAACGAATCTATACCCTCTGGGAGATCATTTACATATACCAGAAACAGTATAGGTCCAAGGACTGACCCCTGCGGGACTCCACTTGTGACGTCTCGCCAATCTGAGACCTCACCCCTCACACAGACTCGTTGTCTCCTGTTGCTTAGGTATTCCTCTATCCACCGGAGTACCTTCCCTCTCACTCCAGCCTGCATCTCCAACTTTCGCACTAGCCTCTTGTGTGGCACTGTATCAAAGGCTTTCTGACAATCCAAAAATATGCAGTCTGCCCACCCTTCTCTTTCTTGCCTTATTTTTGTTGCCTGGTCGTAGAATTCAAGTAACCCTGTGAGGCAGGACCTGCCATCCCTGAACCCATGTTGATGCTGTGTTACAAAGTTCCTTCGCTCCAGATGCTCCACTAGTTTTTTTCGCACAATCTTCTCCATCAGCTTGCATGGTATGCAGGTTAGGGACACTGGCCTGTAGTTCAGTGCCTCCTGTCTATCCCCTTTCTTGTATATCGGGACTACGTTAGCTGCTTTCCAAATATCTGGCAGTTCCCCTGTTGCCAGTGATTTGTTATACACTATGGAGAGTGGTAGGCTCAGTTCTCTTGCTCCTTCCTTTAGAACCCAAGGGGAGATTCCATCTGGGCCTATAGCCTTCGTCACGTCCAACTCTAGTAAACACTTCCTTACTTCCCCACTGGTAATCTCAAACTCTTCCAGTGGTTCCTGGTTAGCTATTCCCTCACTTACCTCTGGAATTTCTCCTTGTTCTAAGGTGAAGACCTCCTGGAATTTCTTATTCAATTCCTCACACACTTCCTTGTCATTTGTAGTGAATCCTTCCGCCCCTATCCTTAATCTCATAACCTGTTCCTTTACTGTTGTTTTTCTCCTAATGTGGCTATGCAACAATTTAGGCTGAGTCTTTGCCTTGCTTGCGATGTCATTTTCGTATTGTCTTTCTGCCTCTCTTCTCATCCTGACATATTCATTCCTGGCATTCTGGTATCTTTCTCTGCTCTCCAGTGTCCTGTTATTCCTATAGTTTCTCCATGCCCTTTTACTTTGCTGCTTAGCTAGCCTACATCTTTGATTAAACCATGGGTTTCTCATCTTCATTTCTCTGTTTTCCTTTTGGACTGGGACAAACTTGTTTGCTGCGTCCTTGCACTTCTGCGTGATGTAATCCATCATATCTTGGGCCGTCTTTCCCCTGAGCTCTGTTTCCCATGCTATATCTGTTAGGAATTTTCTTATCCCCTCATAGTTTCCCTTTCGGTATGCTAACCTTTTGGTTTCGGTATCCCTCCTCGAGTTCAATAACCCTTCTTCAATCAAGTACTCAAACACCAGTACACTGTGGTCGCTCATTCCTACTGGGTCCTCAAAACCGATTTCTCTTATGTCGGAGTCGTTCAGAGTGAAGACTAGGTCGAGTCTCGCTGGTTCGTCATTGCCTCTCATCCTTGTGGGTTCTCCGACATGCTGCGTTAAAAAGTTGCTTGTCACCACCTCCAATAGTTTGGCTCTCCACGTATCCTCGCCTCCATGCGGTTCCTTGTTCTCCCAGTCAATCTTTCCGTGATTGAAGTCGCCCATGATGAGCAGGTGGGATCTATTTCTACAGGCAGCAGAGGCTGCCCTCTCAATTATAGTGTTAACTGCCTTGTTGTTGTTTTCATACTCTTGACTGGGTCTCCTGTCATTTGGTGGAGGGTTGTATATTACTGCTACTACTATTCTTGGTCCTCCCATTGTTATGGTGCCTGCTATGTAGTCTCTGAACTCCTCACAGCCCGGGATGGCCATCTCCTTAAAACTCCATTCCCTTCTCATGAGTAGGGCCACTCCGCCTCCTCCTCTACCTTCCCTCTCTTTCCTTATTACTGTATACTCCTGGGGAAACACGGCATTCGTTATGATTCCAGAGAGTTTTGTTTCAGTGAGTCCGATTACATCTGGGTTA